TGTTTGTCATCATCGTTATCATATTAAAAGAAGATAATAAAAACCCATGACATTTAATACGCTTAGTTAAATTATGAAATTTTGTTTGAATGATAATATTATTATAATACACACATTCTATACATCTTTTTTAAGCAATACCGATTGTACTAAGAAAGTGACTGGGTATAAATTGATATGTATGGTAGGATAAATGCTGAATAGTTGCCTCGGGAGGATACTTACTTCGGACGGATGCCTCAGTTACGTATGCACAATTTTAGGCTTGTTAATGGTTGGAGTAGGCGGCGCATAAGTCATGTCCGCGTGAACGAAAATTTTGACAAACGTTGAAATAGGGTTGTGTCGTATATTTGAAATACACACGTTACGATACATCTGTTCTATGTTCGGAAAATATGATCAATTTTAACTTATACATTTTGTTATGGACTTCACCTGTCATGCAATTCCATAAGCAATTCATAATAAAAAAAAAAAATTCCCTACCACTTGTTCAGAACGCTGACAAGAAGAACAAACGAAAGAAACTTACCAGCTTTTGGACGATTCAAAAGTGCTTGTAATAGCCTACTTGAATAAAGATAGTTTCGTTTCGTTTCGTTTCGTTTCGTTTCGTTTCGTTTCGTTTCGTTTCGTTTCGTTTCGTTTCATTTCATGTCATTTCATTTCATTTCATAATGTCATAGTTTTTTAGCTAATACAGTTATTATTATTACTATAAATATTTAAGAAAAAAAAAAGCTAAAATAATTTCGAAAATGTTAAGGTAAACGCAGGAACGCAGGTATTACCGAAGGTACATCAAGGCTTTAAGTTTTGAACCTTCGAAATAGGATTTTTCGATACTAAAAACCTACTAGTATATATTTTCTAGTTTGAACTTTTGTAGATAGTTTTTGAGGAAATACTTAAAGAAAAAAATATTAAACATAAAAATCCGGGTGAAGTTATTACCGAGGTATGCTTAAGCGTTTTTTTTTTAATCTTGTTCCCCATTAATTAACAGATCTTTTTTACTTTGATTTTTTGTTTACTTTGTTTCTCTTTTATTTATTTGGGCTCTTTTATTTATTTTACTTATTTGGGCTCTTTCTTTTTCTATCTTTACGGTGTGGTTCTTTTCACCTTTAGTTTTTTTTTTCTTTTTATTATTCTTTTCTTTAGACGTTAGCCATGCATATCTTTGAATGCTGCTTTTGTTAATTTTCATATTTTTCTTATTCTATGTTAGTATTTTTATATTTTGTATTTTCACTTATATATATGTACATTTTTTGTTAGACTATTCACGTTTACATTTTTACTTAAAACTAATACCATATATACTCTGTCGATTGTTTATGTTTACATTTAAATCCTTATTACTTTTGTTTACCTTAGTTATCATCTCATTAGCGTGCTTTATAAATATCTCCCTATCTTTACTGTCTTCTATTGTTTTATGGAGGTTTTGCTTACTGAGTGTGTGGTTTATGCTACTTTGTATAGTGTGCCTTATCATATTATATTTTGGACATTGTAGAATAACGTGGCAAATGTCTTGTACTGCGTCATGATTGCATTCGCAGTATGGGGTGTCCTTACACTTATATTTGTGGAGGTAGAACCGGAAACCGCCATACCCGGTTGCAATTGTGCTGTTAACGTTTCATTCCCTATCTTTTTTAATATCCCGAAGGCCCTCTCCACGCTAGGGAAGAAGACCTTCGTTGTGGTAGCCGTGTTTTCGCTCCTATAGCGTCTATTCCATTCTACTTTTATCAAGGTCCTCAGGTGTCTCTTAACAAAAGTGATGGGACATCCTCCGATGGGAGAGCTGCCTCTCTCGCTAGCTGATCCGCTCTTTCGATCCCAACCACCCCGACGTGGGCCCTGATCCAAAATAGGGAGACATTATAATTGTTCTCCCTAAGTTGTACCAGGTTGCCCTGTATCGCCTTGGTGATTGGGTGCGTTGAGTCCGGATCTTGCAGGGACTGAAATGCGGATCTCGAATCGCTAAGCAACACTTTCCGATTTTGTGTGCGAATCCTCTTTGTACAATGTTAAATAACTTGACACTTTTTATCTTTTTGGCTTCTTTGGCCCACACATTAGCTCCATACAATATTGTCGACTACCGTGACATAAATAGTTTTTATTATTTCAGGGTCTAAGCCCCATGCTTAAGCGTTTACAGCTAATATCGCGATTCGTGATTCTATTACCGAGGGAAGAAAAATAATAGGCATGTTGGTTCCGTACAAAACCTTTAGTTAAACACTAATTATTGGCTATTCTAAGTTTCAATCAACAATGTTTAACTCTGATAAAGGTTTTTATCAAATCACTGCATTACGGCCTCATTACCTACTACTATTATTACAATGGCACTTATGTATCACGTTTGATAGTCGTGATAATTGAATAAATAAGTAATAATAAATAAATATCTATTTAATAGAAATGTTTTTTTCTTATGATCAACATGATAATTTGAACGAAATTGCAACGAAATTGTTACGTAAAAATTAAATCCTGAGTTAGAAAAATAGTTAGGTATGTGAAAGTAGGGTTTTGAATTTCACATGAGGTACTTATTTGTTTCTAGAGAACCCTAAGCCCAAGAATAACTACTATAATATGTAGTAGGTTGACATGGGAATCTTAAAACGGGTGCAAATAAAACGCACAAATTTCCTTTGAATATTTTCCAAGCTAGAAACATATAAATCATATCCTGGGTTCCAAATCTGAGGAGCATACTCGAAATGACTTCGAACGTAAGTACAATACAGAAATTTAGTGTTTTCATTCTTTTTTAAAAAACCGTCTATCTTATTTTATCTATCGTCTATTTTATCTATTAAAAAACCCAGAGCCTTTTATGATTTATCGACGATGTATTCAATATGTTTGTCAATTAACAACTTGTGGTCATGAATAACCCCAAGATCCCTAACGCTGAGTCTATTTTCCAGTTTTTGGCATTTAAGCATATAATCGTAATCAAATTTATTACGTTTACACGTTAAACTGACTGCAAAGCATTTATTAACATTGAGATCTAGTTTGTTCAAGTGATAACAATCTTCTAATCTATTCAAATCCTCCTGCAAGAGAAGCGCGTAAGAGACCCCGTCAACTACTTTAAAAACTTTCATATCGTTGGCAAACAACTTGAGTATAGAAAGCAAGATTTTATGTCGTTGATGAATATGACAAACAATTAAGCAAAGACAGATCTTCTCTTAGGGCCAGTTTTTTGATCCGAAGTCAAATGTCATTTCACCATTTGTTAACTTGACTATAGTTAAAACATTAACAAGTTGTTAACTCGCTATTTCGTTTTTTGATGCCAAATTGAACCATAGCCACATTTAACCACTGGCCAATTTGTTGCCAACACAATGAGTCGTTTTTTCGCTATACATTGACATGGGTTTTTTTTCTGGGTTACAACACTAACGGTTTGAATGAACGGAGCGAACTATATACCATTTTTGACATTAGGATTTTGTTATAAATATCAAATAGACGAAAGAAATCTATAGATTATCAAACAGTGTGGATGTTTATGGTTGTTCTGTTGTATGCACTATGTGTTATTTTTCAGGAAATATAAGGCAATTTCCAGTTATTTTAAACTTAACTTTTTTATAAAAAGCATATATTTGTTTTTTATTTATCTTATAGAGAAATACGTGAAAAGAATATAGTATCTAGTATCCAAGGTGGGATTGTAATGTTGGAAAATAAATCGAGGACTATGTATTTCATGTACTGTAGGCACATTTACCTTTTATATTGTCTATTCGTGGAATTTATAAGATTTTTAATAATTGAATAATTTGGCATCTGCCCGTGGAAACAAGAAAAATTATTTCTATATAGTACAAATATACTAAGAATGATTAAGATAAAATATATCTTATTTTCAATAAACCTATAGCCAAAAAATGACAATGAATATTTTCCTATGAAATTGCATCATAAAACGAAATCCCAAAAATAGCTAATGTCCAAATTCACTATGAAATCATGTAGGTTATAAAAACAACGTAAAAAACAATAAGAAGGGACCAAGTAAATACAACGCAGTTGTACATCTCTTCTTTTAACAATTGGTCATTTACTTAACCTGGCTTCCAATGATGGTTAAATTTTTTGACAAATGGTTGTAATTCTGACAATTGGTTAGGCTAACTATTAATCAAAAAATATTTTTTTCTGATATTTAACTATTTGTCAAAGATTTTAACAAATGGTTGAGTTAACCACGGGTTAATAAACTGGCCCTTATTGATCTTTCCTGAAAGTGTAAATTGCCAATTAACCCAACAGCTTGCCAAAAAGTTGGAGTTTAAGCACAATTTTAAAAACTAATGGCAGGACCTGAAAGAACTGAAAGTGTTATAAATTGACTACTGGTTTTTGCAGCAGAAAATTAGCGATATCTGATACTCGTATAATCTTAACTACTTTCAAAGTTCCGATGCAAGTCGTTTTTTTGGTAAATTGTACGCTGAACCTACAACATATTAATCGTATGATGTGTATCCTATCTAAGACATCATAACATATCTACATCCTAACTAACTGTATCTATAATAAATTTTTTGTTGGTTATTTCAGACACATACTTAGATATTATATTTTTGAATGTGTTACGCAGAAAATTATTATATCAATTGTACTGCATTAGGGTATTCATAGTAAAAGTAACTCGGTAATAACAATGAGTATGATAAATGTATATGATGGCGTTCCAGCTATAAATTTATTTTTAAGTTTCGATAGATAACTGAATATATTTTATCTAATATGTTCTTTACCTTGTAAATAACTGATTATATTATTCTACTTTATTTGTAATAATCAGATTGAAACATTAGATCAGATTGTCACTTAAATATTGATTAAAATAACTATCGGTAAGATAAATAGTTTAATGCTTGTTATCATATAAATGTAAAGTATAAAAGGAGTAGCCTCATTAATGTTGTAAAGTGTACGAAATGAAGGTCCTTCTGGTTCTGTCTGTTCTGGCTTTAGCCTCCTCGTATGCAGAGATTAACTCTGCTGAGGACGTTACTGCGTTTAACTATCACATGCGAATTGGTATTCCAGAAGCAGCCAAAATAAAAAGGAATGAAGAAGATGCTGCTAAGGCTGGTTTAGCTGGCCAGAGGATCGTCGGTGGACAAGTGACGGATATTTCTCAAGTACCCTACCAGGTAATAATGTTTTCAGTTATTTAATTTCTCTTGGCAATTATTTTTAATGAAATTGTTTAACCAATCTCAGGTAGCATGATATTGGATTCGAACCAATAACCTATTGCAATCTGGATGATTGCTCTAGCTATTGAGCTACCCGAAACTCAACAGGAATAAAGAATTTTTCAAGAAATACTTTTTATATAAAATATGCTCACTAGTAGCGAAAGCGATAGCTTTTTGAGATATTCGCCAGTCCTGTTGGTTCTCAGGTAGCTTACAATTATTCAAAGATATGTGTATACTACACAAAAGGAAAGGTATCTTCTCAATATTTATTAATTAGTATCACAGTTTCATTATTTTTAACTTACTAAAGGAAAATATTATACCATTGCACTATAACTCGGTTGTCCTTCTTACTTAATTTTTCTGATTTTACTAAAACGATTGAGTTCCGATTTGGTACATATGTAAGACTCCTCACATATAGTCGTGCAATGTAAATAAATGATTCTGAAACATAGAAGTCTCTTTTGAAGGGGTGAATTATAATATAATAAAAAAAGCTTTATGTGTAAATATACGGATGCCATATATATTTACTCGGGCAAAGTCGCGGCAAATAAACTAGTTATAATGAACTATGGATTTTATAGCTTCCTAAAAATATGGCGAAAAAAATTTTATAACACTTATAGTGTTATACAACTGTTTAAAGATACTTAATTTCGATGCGTGATATGATTACATTTCAGGTATAACTCGAAACTATAAATATTTAATTTGTTTACAGGTCGGTCTCATTGTCACAATTTTGTTCATCTTTCAATCCATATGTGGTGGCGTTTTAATTTCCAATAACCGCGTCGTCACAGCTGCCCATTGCCACTTTGATGGCAATTTTGTTGCCAATTCCCACACCGTCGTCCTGGGATCCAACACCATCTTCTCAGGCGGTGTGCGCCATACTACCACCGACATCGTCATGCACGCTAATTGGACTCCTAGTATCGTTGCAAACGACATCGCTGTCCTCCGTATCCCAAATGTTGGTTTCACAAGTAAGTTCTGTTATTATCATAATGTTAAGCAGCTGTTGGTTGCAAGCGCTGGTTCTAGAGATATTTATTATCTCCAGCCCCTTCGTGTTACAGAAAACCCGATAAGCCGTTGGTTTCTGCTGCATCTAACCCGTGCGGGTTGACATGGCCAATTCCCCCGATTCGATTCAATTGCGCTTTTATAAAACAAATTTTGAGCAGCTATATGTAATTTGAAAGAAGCTTAATAGTAAGTTGTTATACAAGGGCCAGAAATTATGTAGTAGGAAATAGAAAAGAAACCGAGTGGGTAGGTGAGTTAACATGGGTCTTTCCGCTAGTCAAATGGCAGAGGCATATCCAATAAAACAGGTTGATGTCTAATTATATTTTTAATATTGCGTATCGAAAAGTTAAAAATCATTTATATTATTTTTACAGATGTGATTCAACCAGTTGCTTTACCAACTGGTGCCGAACTCAACCAAAACTTCGTTGGCTTAATTGGTCTCGCATCTGGTTTCGGTCGCACCAGCGATAGTAAGTAAATCCTCGAACGTAATTATATTATTTGTAAAAAAATATCAAAATTAATTACTTAAGCAAAATTCACATCAGATAAATAAATTAAACTAGTTTAATTGTATTCGTAAGCGTCCAGTTTTGCAAAGCATTTTTCATGACACTAAAGAATATATTTTTAATAAACCTAACTTTCACGTGACTAATTTCATTACGATTAACATGACGAAACTACACGACACCATCTGCATAATAAACATTCGATGTTGACGGATTCAATATCTACGAAATGCTGTTAATTGCGCTCCATTACAAATTCTCGTCTCGAAACCTTTTTCGTATAACTTTTATTCGTGAAACTTTGACTTTATTGTCAAAGTTTCACGTGAGTTGCATCGCGTAAAAAGAAATTCGAATAAATAAAAAATAAATTACTTTTTTTACAGCCAACACTAATATTCCACAAAATCAACCCATTAGCTCCGTCAACTTGCCAATCATTACTAACGCTGCATGCGCAGCTACTTACGGAAATATCGTCCTAAGCTCCAACATCTGTACAAGCGGCGCAGGCGGCCAAGGTACTTGCCAGGGCGATTCTGGTGGTCCTCTTGTTGTTACCAGCAATGGCAGGAGAATTTTGGTGAGTGTTATTCGATGTTTGAATTTCGCCAAATGTTGCATTTGAATTAATTTTGAAGCAGTTATCGTCAAATAATCAACCTGACATTTTGCTTAGCTGACAATACAGCTTTAGTTTACCTGACAATACATGGCAAATCATATTTTTTTTAGAAAACTTCATAAAACCCTTATTTTTCGTTTAATTAAATATATTCTGAGAACTGAGTTTTATCATCTGTAATAATATCTTAAGCATTATAATTTTTCTAACACTAACACTTTTAGGCTCGGTTGTACCATAATTGTAGCTAAAGTTAAGGTTTATGTCAAATTTGACAATATTTGTCACGCTGGCTTGAACATTGACTATCATATACAAACTACAAATAAACCTGAATTAAATAAATTTCCATGACGTCACTCAATATTAAACAAATGATGAATTATTTAATAAAGAAATAATAAGGGTCAGTTGCACCAACTTACTTTAACAATAACATCATCTTAAAGCAGTTTAAGCAAATAATAACGAGGTATCATTTCGCAATGGTTGGATGACGTCATAATTTTAACAGTAAACTATAACCGCCTTAGGCTGGATTACACCATATGGGTAATTAAAGATAGGCTGACTTTAGTTTTGACTGTGGAATGCGTTGCGCCATCCTCTTTCTTGGCATAGTATAAAATCAACTTCGAAACTAAGGGTTGGTTGCGACAACTTACTTTAACAATAACGAACATGTTATAGTACCGTAAAGTAAGAATTAAGTAAGTAAGTAGTAGTTAAAGCAAATAAGTAATGTGTTGCATCATTTGGCATTGGGCAGAGGATGTCGTTATTTTGGCTGTAAACTATAAATGTTATTGTTTTGAAAATTTATGAAAATGTATTTAATTAAGGTTAATTTGTAGTTTGATTGTGTACCAACTAACTATTCGCAAGCGCCTTCGTCCATACTGTCCTGTATATGTATATATAAACCTTGCTCTTGATTCGCTCTGTATATTGACATAGATGAAAACCACCTTAATTCCGTTGTGTACCTCTAGTTTAAAAGATCACAACTCTATTTTATACTACATATGTACATTTTGTAATTTTTATGTTACTGCTTATTCATTTAGTCTGATAACTGATTCTTTGTTTGATTAATTACAGGTTGGAATTACATCATTTGGAGCTCGTGCTGGTTGTGCTGCTGGTTTCCCAGCTGCGTACGCTAGAGTGACATCTTTCAATTCATTTATTTTAGGAGTTTAAATAATAAATCTTATTTAAGCAACCTAATTCTTTCTCTCAATAAAACTTTATTGAAATATCAATTAATTTTATTTATAAAAAATGTTACTACGTTACTATTCTATTAACAGTTAATGTTATAAAAACATAATAGTTAATCACAAAGTCATTAAAATTATAAAGCAAGGTATAATTATATATTTTTTATTCTCAGATATTCGGTTTTAAAATAAGTAAAAATTAAAAATCGATGACATTCTTCATTGTAGCCCAAAAAAACCGAATTCACACTTAGAAAATAAATTCTAAAAGAATTTCCATATTCCACACATATCAATCTTTTGGTCTGGACACCGTACCCGTCGGCAATGATTCGGGGGATATTTTTATCTAGTATAGTTTAATATTTTGTAAATATTTTTAAATTTGAAAAACTTTGTAACTGAAAATAGGATTTTTTGTCTTAATTTGCATCGAATAGGTGAAAGTATTGAACCTATTTCTAAACTTCCTTTTACAAAATTACATCTTATGCGGGCGACATAGGAACTGATTGCAAGTCAATTACGACAATTAAACATGGCTCGGTTAAGTTAATCGGCTATTTAAGGATTTAATTTTAATAAAAATACGGTTTAAAATCCAATAATAAAGTTGAGTATATGTAAAAGTATTTGATTAACTGTTTATCATTATCATAATCAATTCATTGATATTAAAATAAGATAATAAAAACCCATGACGTTTAATACGCTTACTTAAATGATTAATTTCTTTCCATATTATGTCGTAGATATTAGTGAATTATTCATTATTATATAAAAAATGTCAACTAGTCTACTATATTGGTAAATAGTAAACTAGTTGATATTACGCTATTGAAAATGTTTGTAGTCGATTGAGATGTTATACACTGTTTATTAAGTTTTATGGATAAATAGTTATTTATTTATTTCGCATAAGACAAGGTGAGTATTCTTATTAAAATAGTAGTTACTTATTTACTACTAGTTTTTACAGTAGATAAATGGTGATATTTGGTGTTCGTATAATCTTAAGTACTTTCGAAGTTTCGATGCAAGTATCGAGTTGGCTAATAAATATTAACTTAAATTTTTATTTATTTATTAATGAAATAATAGCTTATCATTCACAATGTAATCACCGTCGTTATCTACCACTGTACGCCAGTGATTAGGCAAAGATTGTATTGCGTCTCTGTAAAACTTTGCCGGCTTGGAATTCATGTACTGTTGTAACTGGGGTTCATCATGAAACCTTTTTCAGGCAAATGATTTGAGTGACCGGAATAAACTTGAATCTGTTGGCATTGAGTCTGGTGAATACGGAGGATGTGGAACTATTTACCAGTTCAGCTACAATAATTTCTGTCGGGTACTCTTAGCAATATGCGGTCGGGCATTATCATGGAGGAAAAATAATCTGTCATGTTGTGGACGCTTACGATGAAGTTCACGCTTTAGATTATCGAGTTGATTACAGTACACGTTCGCTGTGATCGTTGTATTGGTAGATGGAATTTCCCAGAATATTACTCCATATACCTATATTTTATTGACATTGTCAGCCTCAAGCAAATTATGTTGACAAAACAAGCTAATGACCGAGCATGTGCCATTTTGTATTTTAAACTTTCTTCACGTGAGTTGCACTCGTTCTTGCCATCAACGAACGTGTTACAACTTGAATATCAGCATTAAAATAAGCATTGATTGTTGCTGATGCGGATGCTGATGTTGATATTAAGAATAATGCTGATATAATCAGCGGATGCTGATGTTAATGCTGATATTCGCAATAACCCTAGATGATTCAAAAATATTTTCTGCAATTCTAGATTTACCTTGAATACTGTAAACAATTTATTCAATTTCGATTGTAATAATCAGTCTGAAACATTGGTATTAAAAATTATAAATAAAACGATAAATAAGATAATGAGTCAAAATCCTGTTATCTTAAACATAGAAAGTATAAAAGGAGTAGCCTCATTAACGTTGTAAAGTGTACGAAATGAAGGTCCTTCTGGTTCTGTCTGTCCTGGCTGTGGCCTCCTCTTATGCAGAGATTAACTCTGTTGAGGACGTTACTGCATTTAACTATCACATGCGAATTGGTATTCCAGAAGCAGCTAAAATAAAAAGGACTGAGGAAGATGCTGCTAAGGCTGGTTTAGCTGGCCAGAGGATCGTCGGTGGACATGTGACGGATATTACTCAAGTACCCTACCAGGTAACAATGTTCTCGGTTATAACAATTATTTTTAATGAAAGTGTTTAAGCTCTCTCAGGTAGCATGAAATTGAACTCAACCTTTCGCAATCCGGATGACTGCTTTAGCCACTGAACTATCCAACACCCAACGGGACAGAAGATTTTTTTTAAATACTTTTAAAAAAAAATTGTGATAATTATTCTATACATTTGATATATTTTGCTTTCATAATGCTATATTAAAATTTTTGAGAAATATATCTCGGCTGTTTGATTGCCTGATCATTGATATGAAATATGCTCAGTAATAGCAAAAGCGATAATATCTCGAGATATTCGTCAGCCCTGTTGGTTTTCACAAAATTTATTCATTCGGGTCATTGTTTTATTATATTAGATTGTATAAGACGGGTATAATTAAGTAAGAATAATTATCACAAATTTTTTAAAAAGTATTTCAAAAAAAATCTTCTGTCCCGTTGGGTGTTGGATAGTCCAGTGGCTAAAGCAGTCATCCGGATTGCGAAAGGTTATTGGATCGAGTTCAATTTCATGTTACCTGAGAGAGCTTAAACACTTTCTTTAAAAATGCTCAATCTAATATAATGCGACACGAAACTTTAAAAGTTTATATAATTTCATTATTTTTAGGAAAATATATATAAAAAGAAAATATGATGCATATGTAGAATAACTCGGTTGTTTTTCTTTCTTAACTTTTCTGCAATTACTAAAACGATTTAAGTTCAATATGGTCCATATGTAGAACTCCCCATATATAGTCATGCAATATAAATAAATTATTCTGAAACATAGCAGTCCCTTTTGAAGGGGTAAATTATGATATAATAAAATAAGCTTTGTGTGTAAATTATATTGTGTATACGCGGATGTCATATATATTTACTCAGGAAAAGTCGCGGGAAACAAGCTAGTAATAATATATTTTGCATTTATAGCGCTTCATAATTTATAATGAACTATGAATTTTATAGCCTCCTGAAAATATGGTGAAAAACATTTTATAAGACTTATAGTGTTACGCCACTGTTTATATATACTTCATTTCCATGCGTGATTTGATTACATTTCAGATATAACTCGAAACTATAAATATTTAATTTATTTACAGGTCGGTCTCATTATCACAATTTTGTTCATCTTTCAATCTATATGTGGTGGCGTTTTAATTTCCAATAACCGCGTCGTCACAGCTGCCCATTGCCACTTTGATGGCAATTTTTTTGCCAATTCCCACACCGTCGTCCTGGGATCCAACACCATCTTCTCAGGCGGTGTGCGTCATACTACCACCGATATCGTCATGCACGCTAATTGGGATCCTAGTACTGTCGCTAACGATATCGCTGTCCTCCGTATCCCAAATGTTGGTTTCACAAGTAAGTTCTGTTATTATCATAAATGTTAAGCAACTGTTGGTTGCAAATACTGGTTCTAGAGATATTTATTACCTCCAGCCCCTACGTCACAGAAATTCCGAAAAGCCGTTGGTTTCTGCTGCATCTAACCCATGCGGGTTGACATGGCCCATTCTCCCTCTTTAATTCGATTATATATAGGTATACAAACGACATGTAAAAAATTTTGGGTGGTTGTATGTAATTTGAAAGATGTTCAGATTAGTAAGTTGTAACAAGGGCCTAAAATGACCGATTAGGACCTAAAATAACCGATTATGTAGTCTCTCCGCTAGTCAAATGGCAGAGGCTTATCCAATAAAACATTTTGATGTCTAAAGTGATATTTTAAATGTTGCCTATCGAAAAATTAAATATCATATTATTTTCACAGATGTGATTCAACCAGTTGCTTTACCAACTGGTTCCGAACTCAACCAAAACTTCGCTGGCTTAACTGGTCTGGCATCTGGTTTCGGTCGCACCAGTGATAGTAAGTAAATCCTCGAACATAATTAAATTATCTGTAAAAAATATCAAAATGAGTACTTAAACAAAATTCACATTAGGCAAATATTTACATGAAACTAGTTTCATTTCGTCCAGTTTTTCAATATATTTTCACGACACTAAATACCTTATGGTACACCTGTACATCACCTGATGCGCATATTCTTGATGAAATTAACTAGTTTTATTACATACGTTAAATTTTAAAACTAATTTCACCACGATTTAGATGACGAAACTAATATCGTGCCACAATCTAAAGCACGGAGTAAAACTTCGAAGTCATTATCTAAGAGATATTGGATTCGGAGTCCATCACACAACTAGTTTCACATATGTTGAAATTATTTTTATGCAACTTGTTTTATTTCGTAACACTACAGTTGTAATGTAAATTCGTTCCTTCGTTGTTTATTGTTGAATCAAAACGTTTTAAAAAAGTTGAGTAAATAAAAGATAAATTACTTTTTTTTGCAGCCAATACTAATATTCCACAAAACCAACCCATTCGCGCTGTTAATCTTCCAATAATTACTAACGCTGCATGCGCAAATGTTTTTGGACATTTTATTATAAGCTCTACCATCTGTACAAGCGGTGCAGGCGGCCAAGGTACTTGCCAGGGCGATTCTGGTGGCCCTCTTGTTGTTACCAGCAATGGAAGGAGAATTTTGGTGAGTAAAACTCGACGTTTCTGTGAAGTGTTATTTGAATAATAACTTTGTGGAAACTACGAATATATCTAACATGA